TCCATCGTTTCATTTTCCAAAACCTTTTCAGTAGCGCGGTCAAATCTGTAGATTTTGTTCTGGTCGGGAAAGACTTCACAAGCCTCCTGCGTGGGGAATCCCCGAGATATCTAGCATTCCGGCAACTGCAACCTCAGAAACGCCAAGTGGGTTGTCCAATCACCCACTATCTGGTATCGTCGGACGCTCACTACAACCCAAAAAGGAGAGAAGTAGTTCTCAAAGATCTCACGTTAGCCGTTTGGGACCCATCGATCGACCAAAGCGCTACCAGAGTAACCGCATTTGACAAGCTGTTTTCCCACACGGCGACGACCGTGACGACGACGGCGGTCTTCTATGTGCAAGGAATCCTCCGTGTTAAGTCAATGGCCATCGAGGGTCACGATCTATCATGGGTATCAAAATACCGCCTGCCATTACTTCCAGGACTCGCCGGGGCGAACGGGATATGTACGTGGGACTTCGTTCTACGCAGAGATGCCAAGAAACGGCAGCGGAAGCAGCTCCGTGACAATGTGCTGTCGGCATTAAACCGCACGGACATAGATCCGCAAGTTCGACGTCTTCTACAGTCAGCACTGGATCAGATTCAAATCGTGAAAAACACGGAATTCGGGAGATAGTTGAATTGAGGAAGATGTCTGCGTTTCAACCTATGAGCCTGTCTTCGCTGAACATCTTCCGCACTGTCTATATCATTCCAGCAATCAGCTGAGCTCAGTCATACCCCCAAGCCCTTGATTCTAAGGGCTCCCATCGTGGAACAATTGCTGTTGCCGTCGACATGTCATCAGCACGCCCAGGATTGAAATGCAGAATGAGTATTTAAAGGGCCAGAATTGAAAGTAACGAGCAACATCCTGTACGGGCCCGTATACGGGCTGTTGCGCCATAATAAAAGTGGGAACTAAAAGAGTATCAGTCAGCTACAGTACCTCTGGCGGTTCGACCCCGGCTCTGATAGCCACTTGTGTCTGAGCACAGTACAGAACGTAAGCAGCTGCAACTACGTTCGGAAGGCTTTGTGCTATGGGATATCGTTTCGATCAAATCAGCGTCGAGAAAGATGGACAGCCTCACGCAAGCTTAGGGCACACAACGATAAGATTCCGAGAGACCGTGTGGGAATGAGCAAGCATCTGGTAGGCATTCAATCTGTAGCAC